ATGATAAATTATACCAGTGGTCCATGATGTATGCTAAATGAAATAATATAGGTAAGTCCCTAATATATTTTTAAGCTTTAATTCCATAAAATATATAATTACATTAAAATCAAAGTCATTTTTTGTATTTATAAAATGCATTGCAATTATATAAAGACGTTCGAGCATCATACAACTAGTGGGATAATAAACTTCAAATAAAATATTTGTAGTGTTATAGAAACTTGTCAAAAATTATTAAAATTTTAAAGTTAACAGCCAATTGGATTTATTCAAAATTGTATCATCATCATTTTTAATATGTCCATTGTTATAAAACTCAATTATTACATGTTCAAAACATTCGCATAACTTTAATAATAAGTAAGTGGAGTTCCATCTAAGACCTACGTCGCTAACAAATATTTTAGCATTTAGCACCCCAAATTCGGCACAAAATTCCTCAAATACTTATTTTTAACTAAGGAAGATCGTGATCTATACTAGTGCATTCCTAATTCTTTGCATTTTATCTTTAATATTTTCAAATCATCTTGCACAATTAAATTTAAAATATGGAACACACAATGAATATGAAACAAATAACCATTGAAATCCGGCTGCAATATCATACACAATTTATTAATAACTACTTTATTAACTCTAGCGTTTTCGAATGTAAAAGAACGAATTTTACTTCCGCAATGATATTCTCTAATAGTAGTCATAATAGCATTATATATATTGTTTACGTTATGGAGGAATTCAATAATTTTAAAAAATCAATAATTTTTTTATGCATACATCAAAGTGGGGTCTATGTAGTGTGCAATTAAAACTATATAAGCTCTTTTATTAATCTCCTCCTATATATCCGAAGTTAAAGATATAACACCTCCATATTTTTGCAAATCCATAATTAATCATTGTTTTATTAGAAAGAAATGTTCTATTGTATCTGAACGAAGAGTGTTTCGACTTATCCCAATGTATGTGAGTTGAAGATATTCTTTTACGTATGAGACGAAATGTTAGTTGTCCGCTATTACTAGAGGCAACTCAGTACTAGAAATAAGTTTCACCATTCCCGTTTGATCATTTTCCTCCAAATACATTCACGTGATGAGGAGTGAAGTTGTAGAATCTGCGCATGGACTACCAAATCGCAATTGCGTTTGATCGGCTTCAAGAAGTCCATGCTTGGCCGCACATGCTTTTAGTGACAGTTGAGGTGGATGGTACCAATGTTTTTTTGTCATGCCAATCGTTGTTGGCATTATTTACATACTAGTTTAGGCTTTGGGACTCCATCAATAACACGACCCATTGAAATCAATTTAAAGTGATTCCAACATTTTGCTCTTTTTTCTCTTTCGCTTCCCTCTAGCATCGGGAATGTCTAATTCAAGTTTCTCCTCCTGTTCTGCTTCGAGAATATCAAGGTCATCCAACTCAATTTGATTATTGCTTTCATGTGCAGAAATTTTGGAATATCTTTAGGAATAGGTACTTCATTTAGATCGAAAAATTGATTCTAATATTGATTTTGCAGTGTCATAGGTGATTCGCCTTCAACACTGAACAAGTACTCAACAAATGAGTGTAGATCCATTTGTGAATTGCGATGAAATTAAAAATGTATAGATGGTATAGTAAGTACTAAGACTTGAGTAAAGAGTACGGAAAGAGTTATAATGTGTTTAGGATAGAGAATTCGTAATTGTGAATTTATAGTGTAAGAATTAAATGAATTGAAATTGAAGATGATGAAATTGTAAAAATAAATGTATATTGTCTAATTGTTAATAGTTATGGAATATCACCAAAGAGAGTTGTTGATGTTGTGTGAAAACATTGGATTCAATTCATGTGTATTTATAGAGAGAAAAATAAAATGAGAAAATTCAGTGGCTGTTTTGGCCAAAGTTGAAACGGTCACTGTTTAGGCCCACGAGCGGCTCGTCTGTTGGCGAGCCGAGTAGACCCGCTTGGCTCGTGCTCAGGCTCCTAAGAGCTCTTGATTTTACGAACCCGAGCATCTCACAAGTCCCATTTTTATGAGCCAACGAGCCACTTGGCCCGTTTGACACCCCTAATTATTCATTTGCATCAGCAAAATTTGGTGTTGAGTTATAGTGAAATCATACCAAATATTTGGTGCAAAAGGAGGAAAAATAGGGATTTGGCTTAAGGGTTGGCTTTGCCTCATGCCCTACATTTAAGAAAGGCGCCCAAATTTTGAAAACTTAATCTCGAATAGTTTTACCATTGCAAATTTCAAGTCAGGTTTCCTTGTATAATAATTAAAAACACTTATTTTCATGAATATAATTTATCGGAACTAAGCTATATGGACATTGTTATTAACATTTTCACCTGTGTCAAAATATGGTTAATTGTGTGAACGGTGTTGTAAAAATCAATGACTATGATGGATGCCATGTATTAGGATGTCAAACTTAGTATAAACAATAATGTAAATGTAATCTAAGGACAAATTATAGAATAAAGTAATAAATATATATAAAAAAATGTTATCAACATAAGAGTATATAGGTAATATACAATAAATTAAATTTCACAACGCAGTTTTTGTGATTATAATTTTAAAAAATTCTAATTATTAACTCATGCTAAAGTCTCGAGTTAATTATGATATAGTCATTATTAATTTTTGTAATAGTAGGACTCATATAATTCCGATTATGATTTAAATTTTAATAATTCGTTAATTGCTTTTGAGATTATATATTGAAGGTTTTTCTTTAATGCGACCAATGTGTGCAGGCGTCCATTGTTCTTGTTGTTCAACTCATTTTTTTAATATAGTAAAAAATGTTAGGTAATATGGAGATTTTTTTATTTTTTTTATTACATTATACTACTATAGAGATGAATTTAGAAAATATTGGTAGGACTTATCCATGTTATTATGAATGCTCGTATTAACTTGGAGGGTTGTAAAGGTATTATTGGAAAAAAATTATTCACTCTTAACATTTTATATCCTCGTTACATATTATGATGTAAAAAGTACCTTGTACAATTTTTTTTTTTTCAGGTATCTCACCTTACACTAGACTAAATCCTGTACCCCCAAGATCCCTGCCCTTAGAACTTTAGAGGGGTAAATCGCGGGTTATGCCTCAACTAGATTACAGGTTCTCCCCACCGCCTGTACACTTCTGCGCACAAGAGATCCTCCTCCAAAGTGATTGCTCCATACCAAATAAATCTAGCTGCAGGTTCCCACCAGAATTCGAACCTCCACCCTGTTGCTGGAAGCAAGACAAATGTTGACTGATCCACCAGTTGAGCTGTACCCCGGGGGGCGTACCTTGTACAATTGGTATTCATTGTATGCTGCGAAACATGGTTGAGTTAATTATCCACCACCGCACTGTTTTAAGCCCTGTCTGGTGCAGATTATTGGTTGAAAAGAATGGATTTTCCTACCGTTGTGGCCGTATTTTTAACTGACTCTTTTTTTGGTGGAACCCGCAGTTGGACTCAACGGTAAGAAAATGGCTGAAAATCCATTTAAAAATCACGGCCAGACAGGAGCTTAGTATTTCTTGTTCCCGATGACAACGTATGTGCCTACTTGAGTACGATGACTGTCGGAAGGTCTACCTATTTTACTAGTGGTACTAGCAGCAAATATGGTACCATATTTTCAGTGTTTTTAGCTGTGAAGAGATAAATTATTTTTTATACGGAAAATGTCATTTGTACACTCCATGCTTAACATTGCCTTTGTCTTTAAAACAATTGTTAATGGGAAAACTGTGTTTTTTTTTTTTTATTGGTGAAGTATCAAACTTGGTGACTGGTGTACACCAAGTGTGATTCTTTTTATATTGTTGCATAGAGGCGAATTAATTAATGAGAAACAGTATTTGATCTTTCTAATAACACATGACCTATTAATGCATTCAGTGTCAACTGTAGCATCAAAGGCTACTTTAATGCATGTTGTAGAGTACTGTCTAACGAAGAAGTAGGTTTAAAAAAGTCTTCGAGGCTTTAATGTGCTTGACAGACTACCTATAGTTTGTTTGAGTCTTCTTTTTTGGAATAGATTTTGTCATACTAATATTTGGAGGATGTGTTCTAAAATTATTTTATTAAAAGATGATTTTAAAAAAATAATAAAAAAATGAGTTGTTATAGAATGGAGCACAAACAAGACCCTAATACAAGATAAGATGATGTGCATTTGATAAAGATATTAACTACAATTGTGCGAATTGTATATTACAAATTATATAAATTGATTTACATACACATAATTTGATGAGATGTGATCGGGTTAAAATTTCTTTAACCAAATAAAAAATAAACTTTCATACTCTATTTTTGACGCCCCATCTATTTGTAAAACTTTCCGTAACTCTCTACATACCAGTAGCATTATCCTTTTAACTAATTTTAACCTTAACATGTATTTTTGGTACATTAACTTCTTTATACTTGTTACTGTATAATGATACTAAACTTCTTCACTTTTTTCACAAAAATAAAAATAAAAATAAATTTCTATACAAATTATTCATTTGTGCACAATTTAATTCCATCTACGTATTGTAGTCGATCCCAAGTAAGTACAGATAAAGTAGGAAAATTTTTAAACTTTATATTATGTTTATACTTTATTTTTTATAAATTTACGTTTTCATTATACTTTTGGAGAGTTAAAGTGTCATTTTCAAAAATAACAAATGGCGAGTCGAAAATGGCCCACAAGCCGACTCAACTCGCACCACTAGGAGGTGAGCTCAAGGAACAAGTCGAACCCAATTTTCGTGAAGCGACTTGATTCGTGCTTGGTTTGCCTGATCGATCGAAATGAACCGAACCGAACCCAACAATAGATGACTTGAGCTGCTCATGCCAATCCATTTAAGATTATTATTATTATTATTTAAAGTCTCTAATTACTTACAATAATAGCTAATTATGATCAAATTACACGCAATAGCTAATTAAGAGGTTCTTGCTGGAAATTGGAATACCGCACACAAAATGGATGTGGGTGCACGTGTAAGTATCTCATCTCCCTACAACGGCGGCAATGAAAGCTCAAACCTGGGATCGCTAATCCCACATAAACGGCCCTCCCTTCCCTACTACCATGCTCTGGTTTTTCTCTTACTTTTACTTCTCCTCCATCTAGTCACTTTTTTGTTTTTTGGTTTCACGAATCTGGACTTAAGCTTTTCAAGAACTCGGCGAAATAAAGTAAAAGTCCATGTCAAAATTCTTTCTGTAATCCGAAGACGGAAGCACTGTATTGTTGAGGTAGTCGGAAAATTATAGTTTTTTTGTTTTTTAACGATTGTCGAGTTCAGATCAAGGAAACATTCGTACAATTGTACATGTGCTGTGCCTAAAAGGCGAAGGAGATTGCGATAAAATGTTTGGGATGAAGCAGATTATTGTATTGATGTATTGGATTGGTGGGTGGTAGAGAAAGAATTGTATGGCTCCAGGTTCCGATAGCTCCCCTGTTTGCGGTGTTGAATTTGAAAACGGAGTTTTCAAAGACAATAAAAGTATACCCATTCTAGAAGAGGAAAATCACGACGATTATGATAACTCAAACCAGGCAAAACCAGGCCGGCCGCCTCGAAATCTTCCTGTCATGCGTCATTGCAATAGCCAAGCAATTTTGGAACGTACATCAAAATTGGTGAGTAAATCCTTAATTTTCAATCCCCATTTCCCTTTTTGTGATATGAGATCGTTTACTTGGTTAAATGATGTGGGATCTTCTACATATAAAGTTCGTGTACTTGCCTGTCCACGAATGTAGGTTTCGACTATTTGAATGATACACTAGATCAAGTTTGTAGTAACTAAATTTCATGTTTACTATAGTAATTAGTGGGAGTTAGAAATTAACTTGTCTGGATGTGTGCTCTTTAGGCATTGTACTGAGATTTCAAGTTCGATGTTCTTCGATTTTAAAGTATCATGATTATTGATAAGGTGAGATAGAAAGAGCATATTGTAGTAAATTGTAAAAAAATATTATGGTTTTATATAATCAAAATGAAACATAGGTCACAATTGATCTATCTAGGGAAATAGTTTAGAGCAATCCATGGAAAACTACATATTATGGTTTAAAAAATAAGTTCTTACAGATTGCTTGAATACTGTTACTATGTGATTTCTTAACTGTAATTGCTATGCTTTTGTAATTTGAACAGGCTTATTGTAGTGGTAATTGAGGGGAAAATTGTTTCATATAAACAAGTAGACTTTTTGTTTAAGTTGTTTTGCATCCTGCGAGATACTGAAGAACTGTTCCCAAGTTCAACGAATTTGGGACTGCTATTTTCTTTGCATCTCCACAACTTGGATGTGAAAGTCTAATCTCCTCATCATTAAATTGGTTGTTTTATTAGTACTACGGCTTAGTAAATTTATGTATAGATTTATTTATTTTTGTGATTAATCAAAATTATTGGATGAAAAGTCTTCATCAGGTGAGTATTCTGCATTTTTACCTACCTTGCGCTCAGGCAGCTGTTCTGAGAAGGGACCAAAGCCATATATGGAGGATGAGTACGTTTGTGTCGATAATCTTTATGAGCATCTTGGTGCAGCTGACAGTTTCCCTTCTCCTGGAGCATTTTATGGGGTCCGTAACTTTACTTTTGTTTAGAATTGTTTTTTTATCTGGATTGGGTGTCAAACTAATGGAGAAGTATTTCTTTTAAAGGAAAATGAAAATATTTTTTGATGTGATTTGAGGACTAATATATATATATATATGCCTGATTTTATCTTGTTAACCATATTCCACCTAGCATATATATGAAAGTGGTTTTATGAGTTTCCATGGACGTTCTTATTCACTTACAGGTTTTTGACGGTCATGGTGGGGTTGATGCTGCATCCTTCACAAGAAAGAACATCCTTAACTTCATTACTGAGGATTCCCATTTCCCAAGTGGGGTAAAAAGAGCAGTTAGAAATGCTTTTATTAAAGTTGATCATGCTCTGGCCGATGCTAAATTTCTTGATCGTTCCTCTGGTACTACTGCTCTGACTGCTCTTATTTTAGAACGGTAAGAAACTGAGCTACTATCAAGTTACATCAGCCTATAATGTGTAACTAGTGCTGCATTCAGTTGACTCATTCATGGATTGATGTTCTAAAATATGATCATCCAACATTATGTTGCTGCTTAGGCATTATCATTTGTGATAGATAAAAGGAAATGATTTCTGCATCAGTAATTAACATAATCAACTTGAAAAAAAAATGCAATAAACAAAATGCATCGTTAGCCATCCAAATCATTTTGTTATTGATGTTCTCCTTATTTAGTTTGCTACAGAATGTCTACTAGATAATCTCCTCCAGTTTCCTCTGTTCCACATTCAACAAAACCAAACACCTTCTGTATCGGTAGTTGTTTCCGATACACATAAATAAGTATAGATAATATTACAATATTATGCAAGTGTGAAATCCTGGTCATTTGGAGCCACCTGAAGGCATTTGATATTATTTATTCCACAACTTATGTCAGGTGAGTAAGTATGTGTATCCTGGGTATTGTTGAGATCTGAAATTTGTTTATAATACTAGTGTTAGCATTTGCTGTTATAATTAACATTGAACATGTACACAACTTCCAGCTTATCCATCTCTCTAAACCTTAAAATATTGTGTCCAACAACTTCCTGAGCCACAAAGAAGTTTTAAGTCACACACATGTTGTATCTTCTTCCTTGACATCATTATATAACTTAGATTTGTTTGCAGTTATGCCACCTCTAATAAGATGATATCAGTATATCTCCTTTTAGATGGGCTTTAATCTTGTTCCGACTTTGGAGCTACTCATTTATACAATTCATCTTTTGATCTGGTATATCTTACTTTTCAATCTGAGAAGTTGAAGCAAAGTTCAAGAAATATTTATGTATAAATTGAATAAAATGAAGGAAGCTCATGCCAGCTTGTCCAATGTGAACAAAGCAATTCTCTTTCATTAATTTGTGGTCTTTTCTTCTCTTTAATTAATGTGCAACCTTGTAAATTCTACACTTCAACTGATATGTTCATTTCTATGTTAATTTTCAGGACTATGATAGTTGCTAATGCTGGGGATTGCCGAGCTGTATTGGGTAAAAGAGGAAGAGCAATCGAACTGTCAAAAGACCACAAACCTGATTGTACCTCTGAAAGAATCAGGATAGAAAAGCTCGGGGGTGTCATTTATGATGGCTATCTAAATGGACAACTGTCAGTTGCTCGTGCTCTTGGTGACTGGCATATGAAGGGCTCTAAAGGTTCAAAATGCCCATTAAGCCCTGAACCAGAGCTAGAAGAGGTGGTTATAACAGAGGAAGACGAGTTCATAATAATTGGTTGTGACGGTTTATGGGATGTGATGAGCAGCCAATGTGCTGTAACCATTGTAAGGAAGGAGTTGATGTTGCACAATGATCCCGAGAAGTGCTCCAGAGAATTAGTGAGGGAGGCACTCAGACGCAACACTTGCGATAATCTAACAGTTATCGTGGCCTGTTTCTCACCCAATCCTCCACCTCGGATTGAAATACCGAAATCACATAGGAGGAGGAGTATATCAGCTGAAGGGCTGGATCATTTAAAGGGTTTCTTGACTAATGTCTAATATATGATACTATTTGCTTGCATGATAGATGAGTTTGGAATGCCGTTTGGGTATTATTCTAAATTAGAGTAAGGAGTTTAAATATGTTGTCAAAGAATGTTTCTGCATCTTTGGAAACATCCAGGGAGTTAATTATTTAAAGTATGTTTCCAATATTAGGAATTAGACCAATTTTAGTAGTTATCACATTTTGTGCATCATTTCAAAGAATGGTAATAATTATATTTTTTTCCTCTCCTAGAGTTATGTTTGGTGCTTTTTCCTGTATTGCTTCAATTTTATAGTATTGTGCAATGCAAATTTGTATAAATTTATGACTAAGAATATTACTATACTTATGGTAGCCATAAACCAAGAACAAAGTTGTTTAAAATAATTATGAAAAATAGATTTAATTTATAAATTATGGAAAAAATAAAAAAGTTTTTTTTTTATTTTTTATTTTTTATTTTTGGGTTAAAAAGCGGCAAAGAATGTAACTGCACCTCTATGCATCGGATGGACGGATCCAAAAATTTAATCAGCAGTGGATTGAAATTTAAGAAAGGAACATTAGAGTATCTCCAATTGTGTTGTAGAATAGAGATTTAGAGTGGTGAATTCAATTGAAAATTTTGAAACTTTTATAGGCCTTTTTTAAGTGATGATTTTTGAGAATTTCATGAACTTTTATAGATTTGTATGGAATTTGTGAAATTTCTATACACTTTCATTTTTATAACTTTTTAGAATGTGAATGACTTTTAAAAACTTTCATTTAAAGTAGAAATCACTTGGATTCCCACATAAAAGGTCGATCCCGTCCCGTTCACCCATGTAATAAAAAAATATTTTAAAAAAATAAATTAAATCACCTTAATTAAATAAACAAATAATTAAAATATAATAAAATATTTATATAATATTTTAATTAATATATTTAAAATTTGATGACAAATTAGTCTTGTTTTAATATAAAACTATATTACAAAATTAATCAATTACTGAAAACATTGGATGAAAAAAAAATGTTACAAGAAATAGAAAGTGAAGAGAAACAATAAAAAAGAGAGAAAATTGAAAATGGAACAAATATAATTAATAAGTAAAAAAATAAATAAAAACATTTTAATCATAACTGTAAGGTTCGTAGTATTGAAGAAGATTGAGAATATTTACATGACAAAAATAAATTTTATTTATTTATTTATTTATTTTTTTGTCAAAGTCTCCCAAAATCTTGGGATGAATAAGAGACTTATTTTGAAATTTCGTTTTTGTACTTTTTGCTTTGAAATTGGTACTTTGGAGAATTTTATAAAAGTCTCTAAAAGTTATTGAAATTTTGAATATTACAAGACTTTCAGAAACTTTTAAACGTTTTAATTAAATATACCAAAACTTCTAAAAACTTTTTGAAAGCTATAAAAATTCCTATTGAATACACCAAAACATTTTTGAGATACTATAAAAGAATCAATTGAATACTCCAAAACTTTTAAAATCCTTAAAGGTCTGTAAAAGTATTTAAAAGTTTGAATTGAATACATCTCCTTATATCTTTAAAGTGTCGAAAACCTCTATAATGAGAAGATGCAAAGGAGATGTAAATTGTATTTTTAACATAAAATGTAAAAAAAAAAAAAATGATGTAAATAATCCACAAGATGCCCAAAGTGGATCTAGATCTCCCATTAAAAATTTAGAGCAGAATTTGAATTTAGATACATCGGATATAAAAGATGATGGAAATGTGATTTTGAAGATACTAATTTACACTCAATTTTAAAGATTCTCTAACAATATGCCCAACCAAATCAATGTGCATACTTCGAATAAGAAAATGAACGAACTATTTTTGTGAAATTGACGACTTGAGTTTTTCCTTATGTTCTTAGAGACTCCTCAATGTTGGGTTTGTATGGTCCAACTTTTAGCAAATAAATGAAAAAAATTAGTAAAGTAATGGTTAGCATGTATCGCTGACCATGTTTATCCGCATAGCAACATGAAATTGAGTGTAAAATTGATGTAACTAGTAAAGTAAGAGTACAGACGATAAAATATGAATCTAAAGATTAACCCAAAAAAAAAAAAAAAATGTAATGAAAAAATGGAGGTTTTTAAATGTTAAATGTGCATTAAAAAGCAATTAATTAAGCTATTCTTTGGAAAACTTATAAATGGTTTATAAACAGGAATAGTAAGAGAAATAGTAGTGCACCCAAGAAATGTACGAAATTTATGTATATAGTGGATAATAGTTATGAATACTTTGACTAAATTTATAAATTGTTTATAAAATTGTATCCAAACAGAAGCTTAGCAAGTAGCAAAATTATTTTTAAAAGTAATAAAAAATTTCTTTTTTGTCTTTTGGCAAAAATTTCAACGTCAACTTTAGGATGTTACTTATATCACTTTCCACTCTATAGAGTAGAAAATTCAAAAAGAAAAAAAGAAAAAAAAAGAAGAAAAAACGACCCACAATAATATTATAAATTCAAAAGTTCCAAATTCAAAACATTCCCTTCCTACATGCAGAAGTGGAAAGAATTGAATTTTGTCAGAGGTACGAGATATTGTAACACTTGCGAATGAGGATGTCACATTGAATAAGAAAATCAATTATAAGCACTACAACAATTACAATTAGATCCGCTCTTTATAAATAGACTTGAAATTTGCGATTCCAGATAAGATCAATTTAGGATCATGGAATCATTTTTTATCACATAGAAATGAATAGAACACAAAATGTATTTCTACGTGTTGGGAGATGTTTTGGTTTCGGACTCTATTTTTTAAACTGAAAACAAAACAAAAATCTGCTTTGACATAGGATTTGGGATGGGACCGCCCATGTTGCGAAATTAAAACCCGAAACCCATATCCTACCATTGTTTCTCACATAACCATGTCGACTCTAAAAGATATACTCACTTGGCGGCCGGTGGCTGCGACAATCCGTTTAACAGTTTCGACGGGAGTGGCGAAGCCTACTTCTTATGTTCGTCTGGTTTTGGGTCTGTATAGGCTGAATCTGATGACCTTCTGCAAGGACTTCCACACGAGGACCAAAAATACAAGCCCGATACGCATGGGGGTTACCACAACGGCATTTATGAACAACACTTTTGAGTTCATTGTCAAGTCCCTATTAGTTTGATGCCCTTTCTTCGAGTAATATTTTGTAAAACGATATTATGAATTGACATTCGATTATTTGCATATTACAATTTGAAGCGATTATTCAAGGTTCCATGATTATATAGGATGTCACAAATTATATACTCGATGGTACGTGTATATTAAGACACAATTCATGATGTGATAAAAAAATATGTTGTTCACGATCAGTAAATAAGTTGGACGCTTTATATTGATAATATTGCATTGTTCTTATTAAGATTTGTCTATATTTTGAAATAAGAACAATAACATATTTTGTTGCACATCGAACGGGACCGTGTAGATGACTCATTTGTGATCATTCGAAATGAGACTCTACTCGATTGTCAAACAAGTAACCTAAATTCTGAGCGAATAATGTACCTTTGATTGCTAGTTCAAATTCTTTGAGGTACCCGTGAGTGAAGTGTTAATTAACAAATTGATCTGGATGCTTTGAAAATCGGGCCGAAACAATTAGAGATCATATACTTGCGATAGTGGAATCCATCAATTATTGAGATGAAACGATCGTTGCTCTAAGATATTTTCCATATGTAAATTGAACTTGAGCTCAGTAGTCCGATGATGAGATCGTTGGACTTTGTATTGTGATTTGATCGCAATGAATTCGCTTTATGAAAATGGAACTTAAAGGATAATATATGTTGACGGGCAAAATGATCATTTTGCCAATTTCAACATATTGATGGTCAAATAGGGGTTAACTTATGGAACGATAATCAGAAGATATTGTTATTGGATCATGATTTGCTTCTATAACTATCACTTGATTTGAGAGTGCAATAGAATAAGACGAGATTAATAGATGTATCTCAATTAGTCAAGAGTTAACCCAATCAGAAACATCTATTGGAGCTTGAGTTATGTGAGTTCGATTAGATCCCTCTCTAGGCTCCAATAAATGTTTGTGACTTAATTGGTCTACTACAATAAAATCCAAGAAAATTTGTGCAATTTCAAAGACCCTAATTGAGTATTATAAATATACCTTTTATGCGCACATTTTCATATGCTTTTAGGGTTAGCCACATTTCATTTCCCAAAAGAGAGGCACCTAAAGAAGAGCAAGGAAGAAGATCTAAGGGAGGAAGCATTTTGCTAGACCATTAAAAGCTCCTTCAAGGTTATTATCTTCCCTTTATCTGTGAGGATTTAGAAAAAATCAATAATTTCAAGGTGATCTAACATCCTTATTCGTATGGGTTTAATCTTCAAAGGAAAATTAATTTCCTATTGTGATGATTAAATCCAACAATCAACAAATGATATCAAAGCTAAGGTTATTGAGAACCTTAGTAGGATTAAGTTCTTTAAGTCCTAATATAAAATACATTTTTAGTATGGGCAGTGTTAATTTATTTGATTTGACATATTTATTTCTTTATATGGTTGCTTAAATATATAATCATTTTTGGCTTTAGAATTTTATTTTGCTTCCCATTGTAATTCATTTGTTGTTGTTCTTTTCTCTAGAAAAATTATAAGCCGTAAGGCACTATTATTCTTCTTTTATTTAAATTTTTTTTTTTTGGCATATTTCTTTCATTTTTTGCACTTATGTATTAAAAGAATAGATGGATTTGTTGTTGATTATTGTTGGAAAAATGGTAGAAAATGAAGATAAAAAAATTGCAAAAACTATATAAGGGTGCTGGACGACGGTGGCCGCTGGGACCAAAGCGGCAATAGCCACTGTGACCAAATGTAGCAACTGTCACCTTGCGAGAGGCAGCAGCAGCCCTTGGTGCCGGAATCGACAACCATGGCTGCTACAATTGCAACAACTGCTGCCTCGTGACAGCTATGGCTATTGCTGTGTTAGCTGTTGTCTCTCTGTGGTCGTCACCCAACATCGACGGTGATGGCGGTCTCTTTTGGGGTTGCCAACTCCGGTGCTGTCGCCGAAAAAGGATGGTGAAGCTTGGTACATGGTGGTTTTTGCTAGGGTTTAGAAATTGGGGTAATTTTGAGTTTTTGCGCTTTCCTTTGAAACTTGGGCCATCTTGTCAGATAAGGGCTTTTTTTTCTAGGATTAAGATTGAAAATTAAATTGACCCAATTTTGGACA